AATACAATAAGGCGATTGGTATGTACAGCATGTCTAGGGTAAACACCACTGTTAGAAGGAAATTAGTTAATGCACCAGGCATTGGGAAAGAAGACACCCTGGTCCCTATTCAGCTCAGGGTTTATACCGTTTGATGTGGACAGCTTCCATTGATTCCCGTGTACGCCAATTGCTATTTCGAGGAACGAATCGATATGTTTATGAGTAAATTACCTAGAACGGATGAGTTAGTTTGTGCTCATGTGCGAATGAGAAGAAATCCAACAATCCCAAACGATGGACGTCATATCAATTCCTTATCCACTGTCAAACATTTGTGGACGTTTCTGTCTACATTCCAAAACGCACGTCGTGTCTTCATTGCTAGTGACTCCATGGATGTACGGCAAAGTGCCAGGAACTATTTTGGCGCCAGGGAAATTGATACTGATGGGCCGGTGCTTCATATTGCCAAACAAGGAAAACAGTCTAATGCAGTGTTGGGTTTTAAGATGGCGCTACTTGACCAGGCTGTTCTCAGTCGCTGTCAGGTTCTTGTTGTTTCACAAAGTGGCTTCAGTGTCAGAGCTGCCATGATGTCGTACCTTGATCAAGAACTGTATGTGTTCAAAAACGGTACCATCACTCCATATCGTTAACATCTAACAACCATCCCCGGTCCCTCGTTCAACTAAAATGTGGCCTCCCCGTATATAATAGGAGTCCTTGTTCCTCATTTATCAGAATTTACGGACTGTTGTCCCAGTGCAGTAGCAAGTCCTTTAATTTTGACTTGTACTGTGCAGCTTATATCCTTATATCCTTTCAAGTTCTTGATTTTAACACAATGTTTAGTGATGTACATACACCATTTTTCTGGAGCTTCGTAAGTCAGGGCATACTTCACTTGGGACAATAGTATCAATAACCCAAGTGCCGAAACTGTTCGTCGATTTGACCTACCATAAGCGTGACATCTTTGTGTCAAAGGTCAATCAAGATTACGTGACCAATCCCGTGAAAGGAACACGAGATGCACGTGCAGGTCATAGTGACCCAACCACCGTGTAGGAAAACTGGGTTAAATTGTAGTGTAAGCAGGGGGCAGGGGCTTCATAGCGGGATATTCAAACAATACATACCACCATATAGAATAACTGTGTACCGGATAGTCTTGTAGCATTGTTTCACTTGCTTGTTCTACTACGGGACAAATTCTTGACCGGGGTTACTGTTCATCGTAGCGCTAGGATACATTGGGTAGGCCACGTGGTTGGCGTTAAATATGTTGGGTAGGCTCTGATTGGCGGAGACGATTGGCGGAGCAACATCAGATAATATTTCTGTCCCAACGTCCTGTTTCAGGATCATTCCCTCCCCGTTTACAGAGTGGAATGTTAGGTTTTATGTAGAGGGATGGTAGGTTCGTTATATTAGTGTTAGGCCGGGTTGGGGGAAAAGTGGCAGTAGGAAACGGAGTAGGATTTAGGTTATGGATTCTGGGTAATGTTCAATAAAACCGGGGTTGGTTTGGGTGGGTTTTAGGATAGGTTTAAAGGTTTTCATGTAGCTGGATTGTTAATCAGCTATGTGAGTGAGAGAAATATATCATTCATTAGCCGTTACATACATCGATGTCGTCATTGTCACACGAAAATGTGAACTCTGTTCTTGCCATAGAACAGTCTTAGACTCAGACTCAGACTCTTTATTTCGTAGATGATGGCCTGTGAGGCCTATCGTACAATTTACACAAATGATTCAAACATAATGAGTGGTTATACAAGCGCAAGATTATTTGAAATAGTAGTATCATGGGTGGACAGTAATTGAGTGATTTTTTGTTTAGATGGATACTTATGGTAATACGGTGGTATATACTTATCTCTTAGATGTGTGTATAAAGGGCATATTATTAAGGTATTGTATTCGTCTTCAAGGCCATCCCCATTAACGGGCACATTCCACCTTTTTTCCTCTTCGAAACGGACCGTCTATATGATGCAATTTTAAATTCGGAAGCGGAACAACGGAAATTTGTAAGAAAGCTGCGCAAATTAGATGATTTGATTTGGTTTAGATATGGCTCCATTTGGAGGGTGGTCTTGAAAGTACAGTAATAAACAGGTCTATAATCGACTATTTTGGTCATGGAAGTATTAATCTGCAAACGCCATTTTCTACACCACTGACTGACCCAGTCGAAAATAGACTGTAAGGAATTTTCGTCTCCTGCAATGAGCACAATATCGTCTGCGTAAAGAAGAAGTTTAAGCATGAAATTGGCATTGATCTGAACACCACAATTCAGCTGATTGATTTCATCCACCAAATAATGTATGCACACCGACAATAATGCTATCGACAAAATGCAGCCCTGTTTAACACCACTGTTTACGGAAAATATAGTGAGCACTGACGAATGGACCGTCTGTAGGATGTTTCTCTTTGAGAGGCATTTGAAAGATGGAGCAGTTAGAAAAGGAAACAAAGAGCAACTTTTTATTACAGTGTTTCGGTGCAGGTTCTAACGCCGTGAGTAAGAGGGACTAACGGGATCGGGTGGTCAGGCTCGCTGACTTGGTTGACACATATCGTCGGTTCCCAATTGCGCAGATCGATGCTCATGCTGTTGATGACTGGATTGTCAGGTCCAGATTCGATTATTTACGGACCGCCGCCATATAGCTGGTCTATTGCTGAGTTCGGCGTAAAACTAAACTCACTCACTCACTCACTCTAACGCCGTGATCAAGCAAGTTCTTCATAGTTAGTTGGGAAGAAGACGTATAAACAGCCAAAAGCTCCTCAGGACACAAGTCCCTCGGGGAGTGAGAAAATGTGATGATTGTTTACTCGGATAGTTTGCAGAACAAACATTTCTCACAGCCAAACTCAGGCTTTCCCAAAGAGGAATTTGATATATTGCAAAGCAAACACTCCATACCTATAACACTGGGGTCAATGCATTTTGCAAACCTTTACTTTAATTGAGCTAAGTTGCTCAAGTATGAGGTATGTATTAGAGAGAGAGATGTTTATTCAAGTCAAAGGCCACTGGCCCAAATGACATACATTTGCAATATATACAATAAATATACATTTGTAATATATACAGGATATATACAAAATAGTTTAAATTACAAGAATAGAAGCGTACAATATGAGAGAGTATAGCAGTAGATTAAACAAACAGCATGTAGATTATTGGTGAAGATAAGGATATAATTTAAAGGCAATGAATACATATTTACTTAAATTTAACAGTGTTTTAGGACATTTGGTGTTCATTAGATTAGCAAATGTTGTAACTGAGGGATGGTTGTGATACATCGAGTGAATATAGGAGTTTCGGAGTTGGGTGAAGGCTTTGCAGATTAATAAAAATGATACTCGTTTTCAATTTGATGGATTCCATATCGGCTGCAGTGAGAGCATATTCTTAATTCTTCATCCATTCCGATTCTTCGGCCTAATTCAATCATTAGGTTGTGACATCCGCATCTAAATCTTGATAAAGCTTGTCTGTATATCCGTACATTTATGTGTGTTAAATATATTTCGACATTTAAGACAGATTTATAAGTTGAATAAGAAGACAATTTAGAGTTGTTACTGATATCGCTTTGCCATTCTTGAATGTCTACATCACTGATTCGTTGTTTATTTCTGATAAGAAGCTTAATTTATCTCCAAAGTCCTGCATTATCCATGTGTAACCGAATCCATATTTGAATAAGATTTCTCTGACATATGTCACCCTATGATGAACGATGCACCTTTGTCTAGTCCATATAGCATGATATAAGTCTGCTTTGGAAGTCGGCTATTGTCCATTATAATTAGCTTAGTCCAAAATGTTAGTACCTTGATAACTTGTGTGACAAAGACTGTCTTTCTTCCACAATCACCGAGAACAGCGACATTGCATGCATTTTGGGGACATAGATCATTTTCTTGAAGTATTTAAGTTGAACTCTCTCAATATGTTTCACTCGTTGAAGTCCCCAGATTTCAGCACCATAGGTGAGGATAGGAGGTATCATCCTTTCAAAAAGAGTTACAGCAACACCTAAAGGCAATCCACCACACTTGTAATGGAGCTTGTATATATGATGACACGCTTTCTCCAGCTTGCTGTGCTAATGTTGTTGTTGCACGAGTCCATACTCCTCAGGGCGTGAATACGAGTCCCAGATACTTGTAGAAAAGGACGACCTGGATCCGTGTGCCTTTGTAGAACCATTTCTCATAGTTCCGAAGGTATCCCCTTTTCTAAACACAACGATCTGGGATTTATCTAGATTGAGCGAAAGTCCCCATTTATCACAAAAGGTACTGAGCACATCAATCTGCTGCTGGAGCCTCCCGCCGTATCTGTGGTATTCGCTACGTCGTCTGCATACAAGAGAACAAACATTTGGGTTATCGTCGCAGATGTGTATGCCTCTACATGCTGATGTTATCATCTCCGTTGTCAGTTCATTTATGAATAAGCTGAAGAGAAGCGGGCTTAGCATACAACCTTGTCTAGTTCCTTGAAAACACTGGAAGAATTCCGTCAGACCACTGGGGGTTTTACACAGGATTTTAGTTTGGAATACATATTCCCGTGAGGACTGTCAGGAATATTACCATGTATGTTATAGGTGATAAGTCGATACCAAAGATGAGAATGGTTTACGTTATCGAAAGCCTTCGAGAAGTCTATGAAGAAACAGTATAATCGTCCACCAGACTTGGAGAGGTATTTCCTGATCATTCCATACACAGTGAACATGTTATCTACCGTTGCGTATCCCTTCCTAAATCCAGCCTGGTTTTCATATATGATATCATTATCAGATGTCCATTGCTGTAATCTTTCGTTCAATATTTTTGTAAAGACCTTCCCAATTATTGATAGAAGTGAGATCCCTCTGTGAGATCCCTCTGAGGTATGTATACATTTCTGTGAAAATCATTTGACTGAAACTTGATCATGGAGTCGTGATGTTATAAAGTAATAAAAAAAATGTATGTCATTAATAATTTCTTGTCTTTAATCTTATTTTCCCATTAATACATAAAATAGGGGACTTTTGGTCTTTTCTCGAGGGGCCTTTGTCCAGAGGGGCTTTTGTACCAAGGGGCTTTTGACATAGACACGTATGAACTGCAGCATAAATGAAATTCCTTTTCAACAGTGGGAACAATACATAAATAATGCAAAGGGTTATTCTTTTTAACTTTCTACCTCTAAAACCCATTAAATTAATTGATGAACAACGAAATCCCAGTTAAAGTATTCTACATGGCTTAACGTTTACAACAGACAAATAATCATCGAATATTTTTTCTATCTTAACAATGCTGTAAAAATATAGATTGTACATTATATTTCAAAATACCAATGATTATCAATACATCTTTCCCGATCTGTCGAAATGAACTTATCACATATTAGTACAACAGAGACAGGAATGTAACTACAACTACAAGGGACCCGGTCAAGGAAGACATGTCATCTAGTACACCTTGGATTTCAGTCAAGGATATGGAGTGACCATGCCTTTATTGAATTCATAAAGCTCTTGATGCACGTGCGACATCATGGCAGCTCTGACACTGAAGCCACTTTTTGAAACAACAAGAACCTGACAGCGACTTAGAACAGCCTGGTCAAGTAGCGCCATCTCAAAGCCCAACACTGCATTAGGCAGATGTCCCTGTTTGTCAATATGAAGCACCAACCCATCAGTATCAATTTCTCTTGCGCCAAAATACTTCCTGGCACTTAGCCGTACATCCATGGAGTCACTAGCAATGAAGACACGACGTGCGTTTTGCAATTTAGATAGAAACGTCCATAAATGTTTGACAGTGGATAAGGAATTAATCTGAGCTCCATCGTTTGGAATGGTTGGATTTCTTCTCATTCGTACATGAGCACAAACTAGTTTATCCGTTCTTGGTAATTTACTCATAAACATATCGATTCGTTGCTCAAAATGAAGAGAAGGCTTCATGAGAAGATGCCAAATCTTGTGAAACACTTTGCCACGGTTAGGGTGTCTGAACGGTTCTGGTACAAGATGACCATATTGTGGACTCTTTTTTGAATCAGTGTGATAATATCCATATTTGTTCTTAAAATATGACATCACTTGGGTGCTTGACGTTGAAGTCACCATTAGCGAATTTAGGACCCTGCCCATTGTCAAGCCACTGGAGAAACTCCTTACTTAATCCTGAAGTTCGCTTTCTCTGATATACCAGTTGACAATATTCGGAACGTAGAAGAGCTTAATATCAGATGGGTGAGTCATGTTGACGCCAAACCGTCGTCCTGTTACATTTGCTAGAAGATATGCAGCTACTATGCCTCGTTGCCTGTCTGCCCATCCTCCACACCATCTCTGTACGTCACAGAGGTAGATGATGTAACGTGTGCTGTATTGATTGGGTTGGTAGCCATTATATCCGACTTCGGTAATGTTCTTGGTGTCTTCATCTTTGAAATGCCTTAAAAAGGAATCTTGGATTTCATGAGTTTCCTTGTCTTTGTTGGAGATGTGTTGAGTCCTGTGAATGAATGAAAGAATGAGTGAGTGAGCAGAGTGAGTTGCAATCTGCTTTGGACAGTTCAGTGAACGCAGTGAGCCAGGCCTGCATGAATGTACAGGGACAAACTCACTACTGACAGTGAGTACGTGCTCGTAAACTCCCTCTTGTATTGCAATTGTGGCCTATCTACATATGCAGTGCTGTTCTAATGGACTGTTGATAATCAAATATACCTTAAAGTAAGTGAGTTAGTGAGTTAAAATATACAGTCACTTTGGCAATCATATATAGGATCATATATGTAAATAATTTATAATATTTTATCTTAATATATGTCTGCGAAGGGCAGTAAAATAACTAGAATATCATAGTTAGAGATTTAAAACTAGCACGCAACTTAAAAAGTATATACTATTTAGGACATTACAATATACAATCAGGCTATAGATCACCAGCAACTGAAGGTAGATCGCCATAACGGGAACCATTGGGATTTACGGTGCCTTTTCTACCTGCATGGACCCTGGCTGGATTTACACCATCCCTTCAGCCACTGGTGGTTGTAGTGAAATTTTTAAAACAACAAATAATCTTCGATTAACATTGTGTAGGTCGAAACTGACTTTGAAAGTTTGGGGACTCACATATTCTCTCAGGAGGACTATACCCTGAGACGTTTATCCTTCTATAAGACGCAGTTTAGAAGTTTGCCTGTAAGTCTTATGAGGTGTATGTTTATATGCGTGACTCCAAATGTATATATGCATACCGATCAATGGGAATATACCATAAACTACCTGTGGTATGAATCAGGGTCTTCTGGAAGAAGTATCGATACAAGACACATGCTGGCGATGGCAAGGAAAGACAGAATCATGATGCAATTAGCTTTCACAAACATGCTTCTCTGAAACACAAGAATCAGAACCGGGTTATTGTGTGCCTGCGTCAAACAAGGTCATAGCTGTAATATTAAAGCACAGTTGTGTACCCATAATGATTAAATGTGAATGACACCTTTGTTTTATGGATACATATATTCGTATATTCACTATATATTATTGGGTTATTGATCGGCATATTCAAACAGTAGCTTGGTTGAATAGATACAAATGCAGTTGCTGTATTTCCTTGTCTATAGAAAGAATGTTCACATGGAAGGTATATCCGAGGGAAAGAGTGATATCAATGTTCACGTTGTCGTATATTTAGTAAATTGTAAACATCTGTTTCAAATTAAAATAATTTCGGAGCAGACTTGCGTGTCTTAGTCGCACCAGAAAACTATGATCATCGGTTCAAATCCCAGCACAATACACATCCATCACTTAGGGCATTCCTCCAATATCAAGCTGAGAAGTTGCGAAAAACTGATATATTTTTCAGGAGCGTTCAAACACAAGTTTTCGGATAGGTAACCGTGTTTGATAATTTGGCTGCTATGAGAGTTTCTAGGGACGGCTGCCCCATACTGATGCACATACCATACATGTTGTGTCTCTCTGGTCAAGTTAATTTGTTCCAAATGTTCAACCAGCAGTGGATGGATATGACTTAACAATCAAGCACTACATGGACAGATTGGGTCGTGTACTCCACCCCCACTGGGTCTGAGAATGAGTCAGTGAGTGAGTTGAAATTTAACGTCACCTCGGCAAAATTTAAGTCATATACTGACGAGAAGGGTTTTACATACACAATAAATACAAGTAGTTAGATAAACAGACATCGAAGGACCGTAAAATAACAAAGAGTATCACAAAAAGAGTTAAAACTAGCTAGCATATATCTTTAACAGTACAAAACTGTTTTGAACAATACAATGTAAGAATGGGCTAGTGATCGCCAACAACTGAAGGTAGATCACCATCCTGGGGACCATGGGGACTTACAGAGTCTTTCCTACCTGCATAGACTCTAGCTGGATATACACCATCCCTTCAGGTCTGGGAATGAACGGTGTAATAAAGATTTTTGAAGGACATAGAAATGGGCTGTTCTCATTATAATATACCAAACCGTGACCTATTGTCACTCACTCACTTTATTGATGTCCTTGTCAATGAAACGACGCTAAGGAAGCTTGTTAAATTAGCAAGGTATTTCGTCACAATAATGTGTTGTGAAGTCTGTTTTTCAAGCCTATTTGAATCCTATATTTCCATTACATGCCATGCCATGTTCTCAGGGGATACGATACACGATACACCTGTACTTGTGTCTTCTCGTTTCAAACATAGACCTATTCATTCATATTAATTTTCTTAAAACATTGCCAGTAATTAAAGTATAACGATATCGTATGTTCACATCCCTGCTGAGTACATCAAACTTCCAGTAACCAACGACCCTTAACCCACAGGCTTTGCTCTTTCCTCCTTATGCTTGTTCTGAGTTTGACCCCTGAGTATCTTTGCTCTGCCCAAAATAATGATGTTTGTTGTATTTTTAAATTCAACAGTAACTTATTATAAAAACGTGATATTTATATGAAACGTCGCGATGCCACATTGTCGCGCTTTGTCATACTATTGACTGTGTTATACTCATCTATTCTTATAACTGTTTGCGGATGACGTCGATTTTATGTCTGGCACTAATGGAGGGTTACAAAATCCAATTAACGTGTTACAACAGCATTGTGTCCAGTATAATTTAACTGTAAATTTAGATAAAACTAATGTGGTTTTCTTTAAAACGGCGGAGTTCTTTCGAGGGGCGATAAATGGTATTTTGATGGCAATCTTAGTGAATGTGTTTCATCTTATAGATATTTATGTGTGGTATTTTCTAGGAATCTAAATTAGAATAAGTTGTTTATTAGTTCATCGTTCCAATCTAGAAAAGCATTATTTTGTGTTTTAAATGTATGTCGAAGTTTAGACCATTGCCATATGATGTTTTCTTTAAAAAAAATTATAGTAAAGTGATGTCACTTCTATTGTATGGTTCTGAAATATGGGGACTAGACTTTGGTTCTGAATATAAGATTAGCAGTGCTATTGAAGGAGTTTATGTTCAAGCATGGACATATTTTCCAGTATAATAGGCAAAGATATACTCGGGTATCTCCCACACTCGCCACGAACAACATGGTTTGAAGTTGACGTTTTCACACCAAGAAAATATTTACATGCTTGAACATAAACTCCTTCAATAGCACTGCTAATCTTATATTCAGAAGGAGTTTATGGTCAAGCATGTAAATATTTTCTTGGTGTGAAAACGTCAACTTCAAACCATGTTGTTCGTGGCGAGTGTGGGAGATAACCGTGTATATCTTTGCCTATAAGCGTTGTATAAAATATTGGTATAAACTGCAATCCATGCCAAACTCACGCTACCCAAGAAATGTTATAACATATTAATGTTAGATATGAGCTATGGTAAATGTGATTGGGCTTAAAAACTGAGCTGTGTGTTAGGGATTTGGCTATGTTTGGGATAACCAGTGCATTGATAATATTCTTTCGTTTTTACCAGAATGTGTGGATAGAGCTAAATGTATTTATCAGCAAGTTTGGCATGCATCGTTGTCACAAGGCTCTAAAACATACAATTATTCTATGTACAAGTCAAACTTATATCCAGAGCATAATATTAAGCATGTAACTATTCGGAAATTTCGTGTCGCTGTTAGCTAAGTTTAGATATCAACTGAAAATTGAGATGGGTAGATATTCAAATGTCCCAAGAAATAACAGATTTTGTGATGTTTGTCAAATGAACTATGTCGAAGATGAGTACCACTTCTGGTTTGTATGCCAGGCTGATGTCGATTTACGTGGACAGTTTATTTATAGGAAATACTATGTATTTCCAACATTAGCTTAATTTAATCTTTTAATGTCCAGTGATAACAGTCATCTTATAAGAAAGTTGGCTATGTATGCTGAGAATTCTATGCAATTGAGGACAAATCTGTTAATGTAGGCAATATGTATTGTGGCTGCTGTACAACTGCTGAGTCATGGGCCGATGGCCGACGTCTCTTGTTGAATAAACCACTTGACTGTGTTATACATTATCTCGTATTTACCACAAACGCGACAATGCGAAAAATCAACATTTTGATGAAATATCTTGTTGTCACATTGTTGCGCTCTGTTAAAATATTAACTGTGTTATATATTATGGCGCAGTTTGCACAGACGCGACATTTTGGTAAAATGTCGCATTGTTGCGGTTTATTAACATATTGACTGTGTCATATATTATGGCATATTTACCATTTGGATGAGTTGTCGCATTGTGGCACTTTCGTTTTTAAGATGAAGTGTGTTTGCGTACGTGGTTTAAGCTATTGAATAAATACGCATGTTTCTTTTAAACACAAGCTGAGGATTCTAAATCCGTGGATGTATGTAAATCCATTGATGCATGTGCGTATATGACAAAACCAAGTGACATACTTGCTGTGTTTTTAATGCCACATGTGTTCTGTTGTAATGTCGATTAGGTGGTTTTGAATGTCCCGACACTGATTTGCCAATAATAGTGACATATGTAACTTCTACATGTTCCTTTTCAAATACACACTTTATGGTGTAATGAGAAGTATATATATGCATATGTATAAACAAAGCATGTTGTGACAAACAGCAGATTAACATCAACAACATGATGTAATTGAATGACAAGTGGCACATAATTGGACAAAGTGGACATGCCATGTAGCCAAAAAGCAGGATGGACTAAGACGTAAAAACAGTGAAAACGTTGCGAACGTCTTCAGAGGATCTTAATATCAATATGAGATGTAATATCAAGCCAATGTAGGGATTTATGAACAGGAGTTATGTGATCTGAATTGGATCGAATATATTTCAAAGCTCGTATTCATAGATCTAAGAATATAATTTGGTACAAAGGACAGAAACTCGTTCTTCAAATTGCCTGGAACACAGCTTTGTTATGTGTAATGTGCAGCACAATAGAGAAACTATTTAGAATATGACATATATACATATCGCCAGCTTTCGATATTTTCTGTACAGAACTGTTGGTGATATATATACTATTCCAAAACAGAAACGCATGACTCAGAAATATTTTGCGAAAATGTATTTTCAATCATGTATAACTCGTCCACAAATAGACTTTAGTACATGATTTTTTGCATCACTTTAGAAGAAGGAAATGTCTATACAACCAAGTGGATAATTTTAGATAACGGAGACGTTGAGCGCCATGGTGACGACGTAGCACCGGCCCGACGTCGGATCTCCTGGATCTCAGTCCAATCTTTCTGAGCTTGTTCCGTACAGTTTGACTGGATATCTTCCGAAGTCAAGGCACACTGGCTGCTATGCTCTCACCCGTGGCAGTACGATCACGCAAATGTAGTACCCGGATGTACCGATCTTGAGCTACCGTGATGACTCGAGGTCTGCCTGTACGGGGACGGTCATTTGTTATGCCTGTTTGGTTGTAAAGAGCTGTAAGCCGTCATATCGTGCTCAGACTAACATTCAGACGCCTGGCAACAGACGATTGGTAATCTCCAGCATTCATTCTTTCAATGGCGATGTTCGGTGTCGCAACGTCAAGACGTGGCGTAGTGATTTGACCTTGAAACTCCTTAAAAACAAATGCTGATTTCCGAAAGAAATATGGAGTTTTATAGCCAGCAGTGCACGCTCTTTGCTTCACAATTTCAACTGGAAGGTGATTTCTGTTGCGTTGTAGTGATGCCTTTTTAATCCTTGTAAGAAATTTCATCATTTTCAGGTAAAGTCGATTTTTTTACTTGTGCAATTGTGTAAAATCATGTTATCAACACTTTTGTTACATATTTTGACGATTGTTTGAACACGATAGGTAATTAATAGAATTTTAAACACACAAAACGCCCACGCGTTTCT